TCAGGACTGGGCACAGTGGCTCATACTTGTCATCCCAGCACTTTGGGAGGCTGAAGTGGGAGATTTGCCTGAGGCCAGGAGTTGGAGGCCAGCCTGGGCAACATAGCAAGATCTTGTCTCTACAAAAAATTTAAACAATTAGCCAGACGTGGTGGTGCATGCCTTTAGTCCCAGCTATTCAGGTGACTGAGGTGGGAGGATCGCCTGATCCAGGAAGTCGAGGCTGTGGTGAGCCGTGATCATGCCACTGCACTCCAGCCTGGGTGATTCAAAAAAAGAAAGCCATCGGCCCAAATCGGTGGTGACCTTGGGTCTTTAAACCATGTCCGTATCCACCCAGGTGACTGCCCCATGCTGGAATCTTCCAGGACTTGCAGACTCGGACCAGTGTGTGGGCTCCATGAAAGCCTCCAATCACTTCCTGCACTGGACATGTACCAGTCCCTCCCCTGTCCCCTCACCTCCAACCACAACCTCAGGGGCCCAGCTAAGTGACCATTGCCATTTGAAGACAGAATTACACAGGCCCTTTGGGGTAATCAGTCCTCACAGAAAGTCAAGGGTCCTGGAGCACAGGCCAGCTCTCCCCCATCCCAGCTGCAGCTACCTTTTCCAAACCACAGGGCAGGCTGTGCTCTGAGCTGGGATGATGTGAGGAGGTGTGTGTGTGTGTGTGTGTGTATTGTGCATGCCTGTGTGTGTGCAAAGACATGTGAATAAGTGGGTGTGCAAACATGGGCATGTGTGTTCATGAGGTATAAGGGTAGTGTGTGCATGTATGGGTTGCAAGTGTGAGTGCATATGTGCCTGCAGGTGTGCAAGTATTGCATGTGTGCAGGTTGGACACACCTATGTGAATTTGCATGTGGGGTGTGTGTGGGTGCATTGTGTGCCTATGTGTACACTTGTGTGTGTATGTACATATGTGCATGAATGGATGCAGGTATGTACACACCTGTGTGTATGTACATGTGGGAGGTATACACGTGTATGTAATGTGTGTGAATGCATGTGTGCACATGTGTGTGTGTGTACTCCCGTCAGCAAACCATCTGTGGCTGTCCTACCCTCTGGAGCTCTTTTGGAGAATGAAGCTATTGAGACCTGTCCCAGCCCTGTGGAAAGAACCATTTTTGTGGACCCTGGTGGCTTGGCTGCAAGAGGACACATCAGGATGCCGCCTGGCCTGGGGGCAGCCCAGGCCTTGAAAGTGGGAAGATTGGAGTGGCCCCGCCTCCTTCTCCCTTGCCCCTGCATGGAGACGTTGCATCTATGGTGCAGAGAAGGCCCTGAGCTCCAGATGCTTGGGCCACACCTGCAGAAAGCGCTCGTCTCCATTGCCTGCTAGAGGCACCTGCTTCTGGACACGATGCCCACCAGCCCAGGGCCCTCGCCTCCCAATGGGAGGAGCTTCTTCTGCCACACACCTAGATGGCCCAGTGGGAACAGGGTGTTCGAGACCATACCCTCCTCAGGAAACACGGGATACGAGCAGGTGAAGGCTGTGGGCCTCCTTGTGGGCTCCCCTGCAATTCACCTGTGCTTGTCAGAGCCATCTGGGTTGGCCATCACAAAGCACTTCAGCCAGGAGGTAGAGGCCAGAAGTCCAAGGCCAGCAGGGTCTCGGATGAGTCCAGCGAAGTGAGGAGATGAGCTTATTAGGACTCACACACAAGGCACTCTTGGGGGCAGCAGAACAGCTCCAGAGACTTGCCTGTCACCCACCTCTATGCTGCTTTTATTCTTGAGTCAGGGTCTCGGGTCTCATTCTGTTGCCCAGACTGGAGTGTGGTAGCATGATCATGGCTCATTGCAGCCTCGACCTCCTGGACTCAAGTGATCCTTCTTTCTCAGCCTCCAGAGTAGCTGGGACTGCAGGCATGCACCAACATACCCAGCTATTTTTATTTTTTGGTAGAGACGAAGTCTCACTCTAACGCCCAGGCTGGTCTCAAATTCTTGGGCTCAAGCAGTCCTTCCACCTCGACCTCCCAAAGTGCTGGTATTACAGGTGTGCATTAGCACACCCAGCTATTTTTTAAATTTAATTTTTATTTTTTAGTAGAGACAAGGTCTCACTATGTTGCCCAGGCTGATCTCAAACTTCCGGGCTTAATCAGTCGTCTCACATCTGCCTTCCAAAGTGCTGGGAGTGAGTCACTGCACTCGGCCTAAACTGCATTTTTTTTTTTTTTTTTGGAGTTGGAGTCTCACTTCGTTGCCCAGGCTGGAGTGCAGTGACATGCTTATGGCCACCCCAGTGTTGACCTGCTGGCAATCCTTCCACCTCAGCCTTCCAAGTGGCCAGAACTACAGGCATGTGCTACCACACTCGGCTAATTTTTGATTTATTGTAGAGATGAGGTCTCGCCAAGTTGCGCTGGCTGGTCTCGAACCCGTGGGCTCAGGCAATCCAGTCACCTCGGCCTCCCAAAATGCTGGGATTACAGGCTGAGCCACCGAGCCCTGCCCTAAACTGCTTTTAAGTTGCTTTTCTGACTGTTTTCTGTGTGTGATGAGACTGTTTTTCTTGGTGTGTCCTCAGACATGCTCTGGGATATTGGGTTCTCAGGGACACTTGCTTCTTGGCCAGGCACCGTGGCCTTGGCTTACCGCCCGACCTTCAGGATTCGAGCAGTAGCAGTAGATGTACTGCTCACCTGGTGGGAACCTGTCACCCTCCATCAGGGCATCGGCTCACTAATTGGAACGATCGGGTCTTTAACCCTAACTGAAAGACTGCTCTGTCCTACCCAGCAAAGCTTCAAAGAAAGTTCAAAAAAATCAAACTGTTTCCAAGTAATTTAATTGTATCTTAGAACAAATCTCAAAAGTATTTAAAGGAGTACCAAAAAAACCAAACAAACAAAAAAAAAACCAAGCCAACACTAAAAATCTAAAATTCAACCTGGCATCTGGGCACAGTGGCTTACCTGGCAGCTGGGCACAGTGGCTCATGTCTGTAATTCCAGTACTTTAGGAGACTGAGGTGGGATGATCACTTGAGCCCAGGAGTCTGAGACCAGCCTGGGCAACATAGAGAGACCTTGTCTCTAGAAAAAACAATACAAAAACAAAAAAAAAAGTAGTTGGGCCTGGTGATACACACCTGTAATCCCAGCTTCAGCCTGGGTAACAGAGTGAGACTACAATTTAAAAAAAATTTTATATATATATATAAATTCAACCTGGTGCTACACAAAGAACACTAGTCAACAATGAAAAAGAATATACTATTGATGCACAAAGTGAACAGATGACTCTTAATGTAATTATGCTGAGTGAAGATGCCAGATCTCCTGTAACATGGAGTGTGTGCAGTCTGATTTCATTTATATAAAACTCTAGAAAGTAGAACAGAAAGCTGGCCTGTGGTACCCTGGGTTGGGTTTGAGGTAGAATGACACAGAGGGGCTCTTTAGAATGTTCTAGGTAATGGAAGTTTCCCCATCTCAAATTTGGCTCCATAGGCCAAAATTTATCAAGACCACACACTTGCCAGGTCCCTGTGGCAGCTTTAAAGTAGGGTGCTAGCTGGGTATAGTGGCTCACACCTGCCATCCCAGAACTTTTGGGAGGTGAGGGGAATGCTTGAGCCCAGGGGTATGAGACCAGCCTGGGCGACATAGCGAGACCTTGTCTTTACAAATTTTTAAAAAAATAGCAAGGTGTGGTAGCATGCACCTGTGGTTCCAGCTACTTGGGAGGCTGAGGTAAAAGGATTGCCTGGGTCCAGGTGGTTGAGGCTGTGGTGAGCCGTGATCATGTCACTGCACTCCAGCTTGGGTGACAGAGTGAGACTCTGACTCAAAAAATAAAATAAAATACAGACAGAGGCATGTGTCCTATGGAGTTGTGGATCTGGCTTTTGCCCACAAAAGTATTTAAAAGAGCACACACAAAAAAAAATCCAGTATTAAACAATCTAAAATTCAACCTGGTGCCATGCAAAGAACACTAGTCATCAATGAAAAGGAATCAATTATTGATATACAAAATAACATGGATGGGTTTCAAAGTAATTATGTTGAGCAAAGAAGCCAGGTTTTCCATAACAAGGAGAGTGTGCAGTATGATTCCATTTATATAAAACTCTAGAAAACAAAGACTGTTCTATGAGAACAGAAGTGTATTAATTGAAGTAAATTGCAATCAAATACACAGGAAACTCACAATGTTTTTTAAGAAGCTGTATTGGCAAAAGCACTGACTGACCCAGTTCAGAATGTAGAAAGGCCCCTGGACCCCTCTTTCTCCAGGCAGGAAACAGGTGGGGAACATTGCCCACCAGACACATTTTCCAACATCTTCAGAAGTGGCCAGAGTGAGACAGGAACTAGTGACAAGGAAGGATGTCTTGGAGGGCAGAGCCTCAAACCCCAGAGAACACCCACTAAGAGTCACGCCCAAGTCACAACTTCCAGGAGCCTCTCCTAGAAGAGGAGAGGGGAGGCCCAGCAACATTCTCCCAGGGGGACTGTCAAGGGCCAAAGCCACCATGCCCAGCTAAATTTTTTAGGGTTTTTGTAGTCACAGGATTTCACTATGTTGCCCAGGCTGATCTCAAACTCCTGGGCCCAAACGATCCTCTCACCTCAGCTTTACAAATCGCTGGGATTACAGGTGTACACCACCACAACCAGCTAGAGAAGAGGATGTGCCCCTGCTCCCCAAATCATAACAGAACTGACTCAACGCCCACCGCCTTCACAAGGGCCACTTCCTCTGGGAAGTTCTCCCTGACCCTCCCCCTGGATGGAATGAGTCAGATTTGCTACCATTAGGCACGTGTTGTACCTGGACACACGCCTCAGGGTCTATAATGTCTGTCTGGCCAACATAGCTGCTGTTGGCCTCTCCTTAGACAGCATTAGTTCTAGAGCTGCAATTGCCTATTTTACTCCCCGCTTTCCTCCAGTAGCTAGAACAATGCCCGGCACATGCTGATGCTAGCTGTGCTTGAAGGGTGAGCAAATAGCTTCCTGAGGAAGTGTAGAGTGTCAAGGGGAACTGGGCGGCTGTGTAAGAGAAGGCGTGCAGCAAGCGTTACACTGGATCTGCCCGTGGTCTGTTTCACAGCAGATGACAAACAGTAGCATGCCTGCAGTGTGCTCAGAGGACACAGGGGAAGGAGTCTGATCAGTGTGTGTCCTCCTACCTCCAAATCTCTATAATCATAAAGGATCCCCGCTTAGGTTAGGGCTGCTTGATTTTCACACCATCGGTGACCCAGGGTCACCAAACACCTCTCAACAAGCCTGTGAATGTGAAGATCTGTCATCTGGAACAATACTCTCAGGGTCTGGGAGGACCACAAGTCGAAAGGGAAGAGCAGAGGTCGCAGGTTCTCAGGGCAGGATGGTGTGTGCACAGGAAGCTGTAGGAGAGGGAGATGGCCATTAGTGGGCTGGCCATCCTGAGGGGGCCACACGTGCCATAGACACACCCGCTGGGATCGCTCCCCAGTCTCATATGGAGTGCTCTTGGGCACTGCTGAGAACCAGACCATCAGCCCCAGTTCTGCAGCGGCAGCCATAGGGTCCCTGGCTGATGATGTCTCTTCTTACTGTCCGTGTGGGACCACCAGCCCAAGCCTCATCCTGGCGCCCTGGCTCAGGCACATTTGGATGGCCTTCAAGGTGGGCTTTAGGACTTAAAAACAGCTCACAAATTCTTTCCTCTCTGCTTCCCCCAGTGGTCAACTGTCTAAGCCTGGGGCCACAGTTCACCATCTTTCGGAAGGACAACAGCCGCCTGGGTGAGTGCCAAGATGTCGCACGTGTCCATGAACTCCTTCAGGCTCTGGAAGCTCGATATGTTCTGTCTATCTGCAGGTGGGGTCAGAATCACAACCTCTGAGACTCCAGTTCTGGCCGATTCAGGTTCTGTACCCTGGCCCCGTCCCTACACCGCAGCCCCTAATGGTCCTCAAAGCTCGAGTGTAAAAGCACCTGGGAACTGGGGCCACTACAGATGGCAGTCACTCGAAAGCCCTCCCTGCTCACCTGAGCCCCTCCTGCCAGTCCCTTGGCCATCACATCCCAAACGTGCCCACCCCTCTACTGAGACCTCAGTACCACACCCCCGCAGGGCCACTCCTTGCCCTGCACCCACAGGCTTGGTACCTGGAAGTGGGCCCAAGCCCCTTAACACCCACAGCACCCTTCGTCTGGGCAGATCTTGCCTGCACCCCCATGCCTCCTCCTCATCCCTGTGGTGTCCAGCAGCCCTCCCCCACCCGGGCTTTGGAACCTGCCCCTTCCCATCCCAGTGCCTCTGCATCCCATGGACAGGTGACTTACTCTGCGACCTCTCCCTGATGCCCCCCGTGATGTCCCCTATCCCTGCTTTGGGACCTCCAGGTCCTGCCCACTGTGGTCTCCACTTCCGCTGCCCCTCTCCCCACTGCTCTGACCACCCACCCCCCATCACTCCCTCTGCCAGTGCCCAGTGGGTCCTTCCTTCCCTCCCGCCTTCTCTTACTCTCTCCTTCCTTCTGCCTTCCTTCCCCCTCCCTCTGCCTCTCCTCCTCCCTCCCCTTCCCTCCCTCTCTTCCTCCCTCCTCCCTGCAGCCCCCCCCCACACCCACTCACCAAAGAGCAGCAAGCTTTTGTAGGTGTGGGCCGCCCGCCCCAGGCGGAGATAGACCAGGCCGGAGCTGTAGTCGGTGGCCAACACATGGAAGGCCTTCACCCCTCTCACTGCGAGAGAAGCTTGGGCTGCTTGTGCCTAGACAGGGTGGCCCACGCTCCCCCACCCCCACTGGTGTCTGAGGCCTCAGGGGCCCAGCCCTGTCCTGGCATCCCTCCCAAGGGGCTGAGTCCCTGGCCTGAACCTCACCCCCAGGCACGGCTCCAGGACCAAGCCAACCTGGCCACCCGCCTGCCATGGGCTCCTGGGAGCCACAGGTGGTCAGACATGTCTTGCCCAGCTCCCAGCAGCCGAGAAGCCCAGGAAGCATCCCGCCTTCCCACACCTTCCTCTCGGCCGCCTACGCACGCGTGTTCCTGAACACAGCCTTCTTCCGGTCCTTCTTCAGGATCACCTCCTGGGACTGGCAGCCATGCAACCTGGGGACAGTAGGGACTGAAGACTCCAGGCCAGATTCCCCCTTCTCCCCTGGCCACCTAGCCCCCCCGGAAGACGTCTGGGGTCTGTCTCCACCTGAAGGCAAGACGGGTGATCCTGGTGGGACTTCCTGCCTGAACTCCCTTCCAACACTGCTCCCTTCCCCCATCCTGGGAGGGGTGATGCCCACCCCACTCACCGGCTAAAGGCCATGATGATCTTGAGCTGGCCCTTGTGGGTCACCTTCACCACAGATGCCCCCAACTTCCTCTTGTCTCTGGCTGGCAAGAATCCCCCGGCGTCAGTGGCTGTGGCCAGGATGTACCAGAACCCTGAAAACTGTGGAGGGCAGTGTTGGAAGGATAGGATCTGGAGCTATCACCTTGCGGCTGTCCCCCACCCAGAGACTTCCCAGGGGAACCCACTGGAAAAGGGCCCTTCCCCAAGGCCCAGCCAATGCCCAACCCCTGCCTTAGGCCCTGGAGGCTCCAGAGGGCCATGGACCTGCAGATACCCAGTAGGTCAGGGTCTGGGACAGCACAGGGCTGTGTATGGACTTGGTGGGTGGGAGCTCCTGCCGATCCCAAGCCCTGGCTCCCTCCCATGTGGGCCTCCCAGGGACCAGGGACCACTCGACCCTTCTCTTCTTGCCCCCTGGCTCTTCCTGCTGCAGACCTGACACTCTGGGCACTGTGGGACTTCAGGTGCTGTGCCCATGGTCCATCCTGCACCTTTCTGGAAACTTCCTGCTAGCCTTCTTACTCCAAAACATGCCCTGCCTGTCTCTTCTCTCCTCTGCCCTCCTGGGACTCTGGACCCATCCACCCTGTCCCCTCTTCAGGGCTCCCAGCTACCTTTGCTGCACACCTCGAGGGCCCCAGGCTAGGGGCTGTGGTGGAAGAGGCCAGGTGGACAGTCCTTGGGGCCCAGTAGACCTCGTGCCTTGGCCTGCTGCCCTGTCCCTGGGGGGTCAGGAGCTTCTGCAGTAGCAAGTCCCAAGACAGTCCCAGCTCCCTGTCCCCAGGTGGCTCAAGGACCCATGGGTGCATGGTTTACCTTGTTCCAGTTGACAATTTGGGAGTCCTTGGCGTACCGCACCTGCACCTGGGACCCCACAGCCAGGACCAAAAGCAGCACCAGGACAGGCGGCCGTAGTCTCATCCTCAACCTCCTCCCTCAGCAGCCAAGGCCAAGCTGGACTCTGAGTTTAAGTCTCCCTGAGCCTGGAGCTAGCCTGAGGTGGGCGGGAACCGGGGGAGGCAGGTGTGGCTCTGGGCTCTGACCCCACCCTGCTGGCTCAGAGGCTGCCCCCCGGGTTTCAGCACAGGCACATCGAACTGACTGGCAGCTCCTGAAGATGGAGCCACAGAGAGGCTCTGAGACCCTCATACCCTCAATATCCTGGCCTGGGGTCACCACGTGTGCCCTGCAACGCACGACAACCCTGGGCCCCTAGCCCCACGCACAGCAGTGAGTTGCTGGGACTGCACTTCTTGGCAGACGTGCATGTGGGGGACTTCGAAGTGGCTGAGCAGGTGCCAGCAGGCAGGCAGGGGCTGGGTGTGTATGTTCTATGTGCATATGCCCATGAGTGCTGTGCCCATAAATGTGTATACATGTCTGTAAGTTTATGCGCGTATATGCATATGCCCACAAGTGTGTGTGCATACCCATGAGTGTATGCCCATGCCCATGAATGTGCCCATGCTCATGAATTTGTGTTTGTTCATATGTTGGGAGCCAGCCTTGGAGGCTGAGAGTGTCATTGTTGGCCTGGGAGCTTGAAGGTAATCTTTTCTCTTTCTTTTCGGGACAGATAGGACCTCACCTGGGGCGCTGTGGGCCCCACTGCAGAGATAAGCAGGGAAAGAATAGGTGGGAAGTGCTAGAGCCCTGATACACTCATGGGCTAGAAACAGTCTAAACGCAGGAGACTGTTTATAAATGTCTTACTCGATACGTTGTCTAAAAAAGGAATTAAGGTGTCTTCTACTCGATTGGCTCATTTTTTGTGATTTGTCCAGGCAAAATGTCCCTGGTTCCCTCAAGAAGGCACCGTTGATTTGGCTATTTGGACCTAAGTTGGGGAAAAAACTTAAACTCTGTTATACTTTGCACGGACCTAATAAGATCCCTGTAAATGCTTTCGCATTGTGAAATATAATTAAAAATGTCTTAAATCCACAACAAAAGGTTAATAAAATTCCCATTAAAGTAAAAGAGAATTGGCTATACTAATTCTTGTTATATAAAAGGACTGTTTCCTCATATTGAAACAGCCACCATTCCTGTTAATAAGATAACTATTCTTGATTTACTTGTTCAATTACAGCATTTAATAATTGTTAGAAACCACTCAATTTTTATAGGTCATATTAAATCTCATTCAGGACTCCCTGAACTTCTAAGTCAAGGTAATCAATTAGCAAATGCCTTGACAAAATTAGCCATGTGTCTCTCCCTTGAAGATTCTTTAGTAATTAAGCTCAGCAATCCCATAAAATTCACCACCAAAAGCTGCAACTAAATACAGAAAGGTACCAGTTTCACATTCCAACTCTCTCCCCTCTGAGATTTTGCTTTTCACAATTGGGTATTGCAAAACAATTATAACTGATAATGCTCCTGCTTATACATACAAGACTTTTCAATGTTTTTGTGTCCAATTTGGCGTTTCTCATTCCACAGGAATTCCTTATAACTCTCAGGGTCAAGCTATAGTTGAAAGAGCCCATCAAACGCTAAAGAATCAAATAGTTAAATTGCAGGAAAGGGAGTTTAAGTATAGCTTTCCCTATCATAATGTAAATTATGCCGTCAGAAAAACTTAAGGCAGTAAAAGATTTGGTGCAACAGCAACAACTAGAAACTGGTCACATTAAGCCTTCCACTAGTCCGTGGACAACCCCTATATTTGTTATTAAGAATAAATCAGGTAAATGAAAACTTATACAAAATTTAAGGGCTGTTAATGCTACTATGAAAACTGTGAAAACACTCAACCTGAAAAAAGTCATCAGGTTCCAGAAATTCCTGGCATTACTGTTTATAACCTTGTTAGTTATTTGTTTGAACATTTTCTTATGATAAATTTCTCTCAAGTTATATCTAAACTGGGACTATATCAACCTTCTTTCCAGACAAAAGTATAGGAATCATATAAATTAATCCTGTTAACTAACCACAGGCTACTAAGACAAATAAAAAAGGTTTTTCAAAAACCAGATAAAAATTCAACAATGTTTCTAAGTCGCCTCTCTGAGACATTGCAGCAGTTTACTAATATCAGTTTAAATTCTCTGGAAGGACATGCTCTTTTGGCTATGTATTTTGTCTCCCAGTCAACACTGGACATTAGGTACAAACTCCTAAAAAGAAAGAAGGGCCCACAAACCCTTCAACTAACGCTATTGGACAAGGCCTTTATAGTCTTTAACAATAATAAGAAAAGAATGCAGGACCACAAACATAAACCGGAAGCGTTTCAGCTTTTGTTTACCGCTTTAGCAAGAGCTACATGCTCAGCTCTTCTTGAATTTCCCGGTCCAATCCTTCTTTCACCTCTTTTGGTTGTGGGGGTGCAGGACATTATATCCAGACCCCTCACTGTGCTGTTGCTTCCATGTGTTCTGGGATATAAAATGTCTCAGCACTCCTTCCTTGTTGTGCCATGTTCAGCTCCATTATTGGAAAGGGACATTATATACAAAATTAAACCTCATATTATTCTTTGCTCTCACAATTGTGCTTTTGGGTGCCTTTTGTTTAGCTTTGGATTTCCCTAATAGTTTTATGTTGAATCCTATCTAAGCCCTTCCACTGCTTATAAACTTACTGCTTTGGTTGGAGCTCTAACGTTAGGAAAAATGTAAAAAAGATTGTTGGTATGAGGTATGTTTTTAGTAAGAAAGAATAAAGGAAAGAGAAATAATTGTATAGGAAAAATCTTGTATGGTACATTATAAATGGCTGGTTGTTTGAAAAAACAAAGGAAAGGGAAAGAAAAAAAAGGGTATAAAACAAAAATAGAAGGTTCAAGCATTAAAGAAAAATGGCTTAAGTATGTCAAACATGGTACGTGAAAGTCAAAAAGTTTTTTGGCCATAAGCCTGATTTAATTGTAGTACCTTACACTGCTCCTCAGATAACTTGGCTTTGTAGAACATGCCCTGTGTGACAGTTAGCTGTAGCCCACTTTACTGGGCAAGTGGACTCCCACTATCCTCCTTTTCTACTTCTTACTTTTGCAAAAAAAAAAAAAAATCATTCTTTTATCTTTCTTCAGGTTACCAGTGCTCAACCTCTACAAAATGCTAGCTTGGTTTTTACAGATGGCTCCTCTTCTGAAACAGCGGTTACTGTTATTAATGGTGTTACTTCTTGTTTTCAAACAGATTATAATTCCACTCAACGAGTTAAGCTGTTTGCAGCTTGTCAGGTCTTTACAAAAAAATTTTAATCTCGACACTAACATTATGTTACAGGTGTACTGTGTCATTTAAAAACTGCTAGTCTTCGTGCTGTCTCTTCCTTCTCTCCCACTAACATAATTGTTCTTTTATAAACCATTCAATTACATATTTGTGCTAGTATAGAACCTGTTTATGCTACTCATTATTCATACTCATTCTACCCTTCCTTAGTCCATTATCTAAGGCAATGCTCTTATTAATGAGGCTATGTAATTTTTTGCTTTTCCTTCATTAGCAGCTACCACTTTCCATGACCTTCATCATCAGAATGCCCACAGTTTACTTCACCTATTTGGGCTCCCAAAAGCAGAAACAAAACTACCTAAACTCAGCTGACAACAAGGAAAAAGAAACTCTCGTTCCTCAACTAAAACGTCTTGCTCTTGAGAGGCTGCTGCTTCCACGAGAGTCTACAAACCACCAACTTGGGGACAGCTGAAAGTGCTGATACGTGATGCAGAGGACTTGGTTTGGTTTCAAATTACTTCTCTTACTCTCTCTACTGTTTTTATTGCTATACTGGCTATTATAGCAAGCCAGGTGGGTTGTATTTATTAAAAAAAAAAATCTTATTGGGCTTATATCCCAAACCCTCTAGTGTTTCAGCCTGTTACATGGGATACTAAGATTATAACTGTTTTTACTAATCTTTCCTCTTTATTAAAAGGCCCCACTCTTTTTTCATCATGGGTCAAAACTGTTATTAATCATAATTATTCTTTTTAGGTTGTTCTAGTTCTCTTCCAATATGTTTTAGTTTACCTAAAAAATCAAACTACTTTTATAAATTATAAATTAACTAATTGTCTTACTTTTTCTAATTTATATAGAGAATTTATGATTCTTAAACAGCCTTCTTATTTAATGGTTCCTGTAAATCTTCCATCTCTTTGGTATGATGTATATTGTTTAGTGTTTAGGTATGAGGTTAACTCACTGTTGTCATGACCAAAAAGATTTATAGCAACTTTAATTTTAGGAATTACAGCTTTGACAGCCATTGCTACTTCAGTTTCAGTTTCAGCCATAACCTTAGCTAAAGAAGTACATACTGCTACATTTACAGATCAGTTATCCAGGAATGTCTCATTAGCTTTAGCAGCTCAAGAAATTATTGACCAAAAATTAGAAAGTAAAGTTAATGCATTAGAAGAGGCTATTTTGATTATAGGACAGGAACTTGTAGCCTTGAAAATTAAATTGGCTTTGAGATGTCATTCAGAGTTTAAATGGATTTGTGTTACACCTCTCCAAGTGAACAAGTCTATTCATACCTGGGATAGGATTAAAAATCATATCTCCGGAATTTGGAACCATTCCAACATAAGTTTGGATCTCTCCAAGCTTCATCAGGAAGTACAAGACATTAGCTCTGCTGAAAAACAATTTGAATTCACCCAATTGGCTCAGTCAATCTATAACAATTTTTCTTCATTTGTCAATCAAAAATCATTATTGTCTATATTAATCAATGTGGGAATTTGTGGAGGAATAATCTTGCTACTGTTATGTTTGCTTCCAGTCATCTTCAAATCATTGAAAAATAACATCTCTCGACTAAGCACGGAATTTCACGGTTTCGTATTAAAAAACAAAAAAGGGGGATATGTTGGGAGCCAGCCTTGGAGGCCCACCTGATGACAAAGTCCAGGTGCGCTGAGGACCCCTGGCCGCAAAGCGAGCCCAGGCAGCTGAGGCCCTTCTGTCTTCCATCTTTGCTGTTGATACAGCTGAAGAAATTCTGTGCAGTCATGAAAGAAGAAGATGGCATGTTTATGCGAAGAATCACAGCTAACCTGGAAATATCATGGTTTATTTTTCCATTTTTCCCACTATGCCACTTGGCCTATTCTAACATATGCAAGGGTTAAACTCTGAAGCACATCAAGAATGCTTTCTTTCACTTGGTTATAAGTTACTAGATATTGCTTAAGTATAAATGATATAAGTATATTCACTCCTTATTAGATTTAGGATTATACAGTTTAGTGTTTAAACATAAGGATTTTTTAGAAGCACAGGTTTATAATAAGTTCATTATGAATTCATTGTAAGTTCTAGCACTTATCTAGAAGTTATGTAGGTGATTTATAACACTGTTTTCACTAACTTAGGATAAGATTAATATTAAGGTTTTTACTTAATTCTATAGTTAAAACTCTAAGTTAACATTTATAGAGTAGGTTTTCACTGAACTCATAATATAATAATCAGACACTTTTATGACAGATCAGCTAAAACAGAAAGTAACCTTGAGGGGCCTGAGAAACATTACTAAAAGCTTCTTTTGAGTTCTCTTTAGAAACAAGCACTGCAAGATAAGAGAAAAGTAACGAGGACATCTGGACAAGGGAGGCAATCACAGGACTCTGAAGAACATAAGAGCCTAAGATGAGAATATTCCTGACACATAAAGAAATATACACTTAAAGAAACTTTCTTGAAACATTTGTAACTTGGGACGTTGGACTGAGAGTGTCATTGTTGGCTTTATGAATAAGACGTTGTCTGGAAGCCTGTGGGAATCTTGGTTTGCTTGCTACTAAAGCCTATGGGAATCTTGGTTTTGTTCGCTACTAAGACCACTAGCTGGTAACTTTTAAAAGATATGAATGTGAAAGAGTTTTCTTTGTCTTGCCCTTCAAAAATGGTATAAAAGCTCTGTATTAACTAGCATTAAATTGTCATCTGTTCAAGAAGCAGGTGTCTGATATATGATCGTCGTCACCTATCCGTCTCTCCTTCAACACTTCCCATGACCCTCGCGGGGCGGGCCCCCGCACTCATAGTTGTGTACACATGTGTGTGCATACCCATGAGTGTGTGCACATATCCATAAGTGTGTGTGCCTGTGCATGTCTGTGTGTGTGCCCATAGGCTATGTGCACATGTGTGTGCATGCCCATGAATGTGTACCCATGGCCATGAATGTATGTTCCTGTGTGTGTGTATGCCCATGAATGTGTGCACATGCCCATGTGTGTGTGTGCCATATATGTATGCATTTGTGTGTGCATGCCCATGGGTGTGTGTGTGCCCATGAGTGTGTACATGTGTGCCCATACGGTATGTGTGCCCATGAGTGTATGCTCATGTCCATAATTGTGTGGGTGCCGATAGGTGTGTGCCCCTCTGTTCATATACCCTGAGTGTGTGCTTCTGTGTGCACATGTGAGTGGGTGCTCACATGTGCAGGCATGTGCATGCTTAGCCTTGAAGACGGAGGTCCCCGTGTGCATCTCCCCTCACCCAGTGTGAGCACAGCCCCAACCCTGCACCTAGCCCAGCGGACCCCATGGTCTGTTTTCTCCGGGGACCTTGGGCAGCTCCCACACCCACTAGAAAACTGGAAGACCCACAAGGTCAGGCCCAGAGAAGGTTGACCTGGAGGTCCACGGCCCCTCCCACCCTGCTGAGCTGGGACCAGTGTCTGCTGCTGCCCACCTGTCCTGGGCACTCCGTGGATCCCATGGCATCCCAGCTGTGATCTAGTGGACACTGGTGCCAGCCTCCTCAGGGCCGTGTCCCTGGGCCAGTCCCCACCTCTGAGCCGGGGCCTGAACTTGGGTGTCCTCATAGCCAAAGGACTCTGGCGAGGGCCTGGGTGCAGCAAGTCCCCTTGGCCCAGAGTTGGCTGTGGTTCCATGGTTCTTAGTGATGCCCCGCCACATCCTCCTCTCCCTGTGCTAATTGGAGCCCTGAGGAAGGCAGGGCTCTGACTGCTCCTTTGCCAGTGGGCACAGGGTAAGGCGAGAAAAATCAGACAGATTTGTAGGTAGAATCATTTTATTCTGATCTGGAGCCGGAGACCTGGAGCCCCGGAGCCCCAGCAAGGAGGCAGCCCCCAGCCAGCCTCATCAGAATGCTGCGGCACCGTTCCCTGCTTCACTGAAAACCAAGGAAGTGTGTGGGGACGCGGCTCGCCAGAGAGGCACCCACCCTCAGGCCCCCTCCCGGCAGCTGAGCCACCAGCCCCAGGGTTAGGTGCAGGGTCCTCCCCCCATGGGCGTATGGGGCAGTTCCTTCTGCTGAGGAGCCCAGGGGTGTTGAGGGCAACTCACCTGAAGGATCTTTCGGGCGCATGTGACTACAGGGGAGGGAAGACCGGCTGTGAGGATACCTGGCCCCAGCACCTCCATGAGCCCTGCCAGCGATGGGACCAGCTCCCAAGCCTGACTTTGGGTGTGGGTGGCTGAAGACACCCTCAGCCCTGCTTGATCCCTAGCCAAACAGGCAGATCCTGGAAACCTGCCCCATATCGAGGTCACCTCACCACACCCTGTGGGCACCAGAACTGGCCCTAAGCTCCCCAGTGGCCACCCCTCTGATCACTCACAGTCCTTCTGAAGCTGGGATTGCTCCTGAGGCACAAAGCCCAGGCCCCTGCTCCAGTTGGTGAAGACCTTCATGGCCTCCTGACTGGCTGTCTCCGTCCGACCTGTGGAGATGGGGAGATAGCTTCTGATAGCCGGTAAGGGAGCAGAGAAGCGGTCAGAGAGGGGATGGGGGGCAGGGAGAGTCTGAGAAGGAGACAAGAAAGGGGACAGGGAGAGACCAGAGAGGGAGTCAGGGAGGGGGTCAGGAAGGGGACCAGGGAGGGGGCAGGGAGGGGGAAGGGAGGGGACCAGGGTGGCCAGTGCAGCCAGTCCAAAGGTGGAGGGAGCTTGGCCCTGCACGGGCCCCCATGGCCACTCACTGTACAGCTCCACGGCGTTGAGGGACTCATCCCCGAAGTCCAGCTGGGTGAAAATGATGGCGTAGTCTTTGAAGTTGGTGCTTAGCACCCGGTACTCCAGCACGCCTATGGCTAGGGAACAGATGCCCCAGGGTGGGGAGGCTGCTGTGTTGTCTGGGGCCACCGAGCCAGTGTGGGCAGGGATGGAGGGGCTGATTTGGACCTCAGGTGACTCCCCCAGTACACCCGGAACCCCCAGCTCTGTCCTCGTGCACCCGTGGTGGGCAGGGTCCCAGGCTGGGCCTGAGAAGTTGGAGTTCACCAGGGCAAGACACGAGTCCTTTGACCCCAGCCGCAGAGTCAGATCCTTGACTCTCGCAGGGAAGAGCTACCGGAATGGGAACTGCCAGCTCTGGCAGAGTCAGACACTTTCTCCCCACTCGTGCTGGTCCTTCTAATAGGGGCCTGGAGGCAGTAGGGGCTGTGCAGCCTGGGGGAAGCTGACAGGGCCCTGACCATGGCAGGGGCATGCAGCCCGGTGGAGGCCAACAGGGACCTGGATACTGCAGCAGCCGTGCAGCCCAGGAGAAACTGACACCTGGACACCTCAGGGCTTGCAGCCCGGGAGGCTCATGGCCAGCAAACTCACAGGGGTTCTCATACACCCATCCCGCATCTCTTTTCAGCAGCTCCACGATGCTCTGGTTGCAGCCCTGCTGTCTGGAAGGGAAACGCCTGTCACCAGCGTAGGCCCAGATCTTGGAAGCCACAGGGGAGACAAGAGCTGGGGGCCATGTGGGGCTGGTAGGCCAGTGGGGCTGCAAAAGGAATGCTGCTCCCCTTTCTGCCAGATACCCCTGTCACTCAGAAACCTGCCCTCAGCCTGTCTGATCCCATCTGGGAGGGTCCCCGAGAAGCGCAGATGACGCCCATTCACTTCCCAAGAGCCCCCTGATGCCACATCTACATGGAGAACATGGACATGGCTGAGAACGCAAAGGGAGGCTCAGTGGGCTGAAGGCTGCTCTGTAATTTGGGGTACAGCACCCACATCCCCCAAGCTATCAGCCCACAGTGTGAGCATACTCAGCAGGGAGTGGTGGTGTTTGGTAAAGTTCACATAGGGTGGAGGCGGGTGGGGGGAGAAAACAGCAGCAAGAAGTAGGAAAGCCAGCCAGGCTGTAATCCCAGCACTGTGGGAGGCCAAAGCAGAAGGATCACTTGAGCCCAGATGTTTGAGACCAGCCTGGGCAACATAGTAAGACTCTGTCTCTACAAATATAAGAAAATTAGCCAGGCGTGGTGGCTCCTATAGTCCCAGCTACTAGGGAGGCTGAGGAAGCAGGATTGCCTGAGCCCAGGAGGTTGAGGCTGTGGTGAGCTGTGCTTGTGCCACTGCACTCCAGCCTGGGCCACAAAGTGAGACCCTAACTCAAAAAAATAATAATAATAAAAATAAAGAACTAGAAAAGCCACATGGAAGCTGCCACCTCACCCCTGACCCCCCTTTGGTGGGCAGCAGGGCCATCTCCTGCAGGCATGTTCAGGTACAGGTGGGAGGCACCACAGGGAGGACAGGAGAGGAAGCCTCTCTGTGGGCCTTGTGCCTGGCTCAGCGGACCAGGCCCTCGCTTTGGAGCCTGCCCGCCAAGAGGCAAGTGCCTGCTATTCCTCCCACCAGGCCCTCCTCTGTGAAGGGATGTCAGCGCTAATGCCTACCCTGGCCTGACCCCTGAAGCCTGGTCCACCCCATCCCCCACCCTCCTTCTGGCCATGCATGTGGTCTGCTGTGGCTAACCAGCATGACACCACAAGGCGTTTGGCAAACAGCCTCAATGACAGCATTCATTCGGGGATTTATGTGTTGAAGGAATCAGAGGCTCTTAGGTCCTTACATACAACCCTACTTCAAACAGCAGACTCAGAAGGGGTCTGCACGAGAAGAGGCTTCCCTTCTCTGACCAGAGCCCACAGCCAGGGGCCGAGTACAGGAAGCATCCAGCAGGGCGGTCAGAAGCTGCATCCACAGCTGTGGTATTGTTTGTTTATTTGTTTGTTTGTTTTTGAGTCGGGTTCTCACTCTGTCACTCAGGCTGGAGTGCAGTGGCATGACCATGGCTCACCGCAGCCTTAACCTCCTGGGCTCAAGCAAAAATTCTTCTACCTCAGCCTCCTGAGTAGCTGAAACTACAGGCACATGCCACCATGCCCAGCTAAATTTTTTTTATTGTAGAGACTGGGGGAAGGATGGGATCTCACTATGTTGTCCAGATTGGTCTCAAACTCCTGGACTCAAACAATCCTCCCACCTCGGTCACCCAAAGTGCTAGGATTATAGCTATGAGCCACCGCACCCAGCCCCACTTGCAGTGTTGAAGGTGTGAGTCCCACCCAGAGGCTATCCAGGCCCAGAGTGCAGGGACACAGACGTGGGTGGCCAGACAGAGCCCAGCAGGAAAGGAAGGGCAGCACAGACGGCGGCAGACTGCCCCTGGGGCCATATGTCCCCAATATGCAGCCTCCACACGGCCCTGTGCCTGAGCCAGGTGGGACTCAGCCTGCGGAATCAGTGGCTGCAGACACACCCTCCAAGGAAGGCCTGACAGGACTAGAGGGCACAGGGCACCTGCCTTCTCACCCGTGCCGAGACCACAGCATCTGTAGGTTGTTCTCCGGAGTGAAGGTCACCCTGACCCCCTGGATGGCCCTCTCTTCTCTCTGCAGTGCGTAACCGCTTTCATACGAGGCCACAGCAAGGATGTACCAGGGCCCAAGAAACTGCATGGAGAATGGAGGGTCAGAAAGAGGCCCACCGGCATTCTGACCCAGAGGGGGAGCCCCAGGTATCCCTGGTATAGGCCCAGTTATCCCCTGCCACCCATGCTAGTCTGGGCTGGCCCCAGGCAGGGGGAGCCCAGAAGCCATGTGACCTCAAAGAAGGGCCTGGCCCCCAGGACTAGTCTGCTCCACCTGCAGGGGGGCTATTACCTGCTTAGGGTCCAACCTTTCCAGCCAGGCCACCTGGGCCCAGGGCACGCAGGCAAGAGTCAGAAGAGCAGTCAGCAGCAGCCCACCCATCCTCCCAGGGTCCACACGTTGCAGCACGCCACAGGGCCCAGGATGTGCAGTCCCTCCAGCCCTGGAAACCTGTTTATATGGCTCTAAACACTTGGATGTGGGTGGCATTGGCCACCAGGACTCCCAGCTGGCCTCTCTTCCTGCAAAGTCACCCAAGGCGGGGGCATTGTGCAGCAGTGGCCTCTGCGCCCAGCCCAGCCCTACTGGAGAGCCGACAGAGGGACCTAGGATGTGAGGAAGCTGATCTAAGTAAACCATGCTGTGCTGATCCCTGCTTCCATCCACCCAGAAGATTCCAGAATGGTCATCCTAGAACCAGTTGCACCATCTCCTCCATTCCCTGGGGATGTGACATTCTTCCTCACTGAGTCTGGCAAAGCAGGGACTCTGCTGTCCATCACCAGGTCTGGTGGGAAGCCAAGGGCAAATCTAAGGAGACATATGGCCTGGCCAAGAACAAGTGGTTCTTCCAGATACTGTGGTTATCTCTTGTTCCAATCATTAAAAATATAAAAAGTATTTTTCAAAAGGCACCCACCCCCTCCTAGCCTACCCACCCCTGCTCTGTGGCCTGGCCTCCTGCCCACCACAGTTGGTACCCCCAGTCCTGTTCCTTCCGCCCTTGGGGTCCCCATCCTGCCATGCTACTTCCCACCTCTCCCCCAGATGGATGCTGGCCAGTCTCCAGGCTTCCCACGGCCTCCTGCTGACTGGGCTTCCTGCCCTGGGGCCATCCCAGTCCCCTGTCAGGGAGCTGAGGACACAGGTGCTGGGCAGGGCCCATCTGGGTACCAAGACCCAGAGGGAGGAGCTGGGAGGATCCCTTCCCCTCAAGACTGAGGCCACAGCCTTGTCCTGGGATCTCCCCTTCACACACTTACTCATCAGGGATGCAGGGAGAGCCTCTGTCAACCGCAAGATTTGGGCCACTTGTGGTCACCGACACAGGCAAATCTCATGCTGTAGACCCTGTCCACCAGCCCCATTGAGGGCTTCCTGCAGACCTAATTTGACCACTCAGAGTATTAAAGGCAGCAGAAACCCCAAACTGGGCCTGGGAGGATGGGCCAGGCCAAGCTGAGACAGAAGAGGACTCAGCCCCTCACAGACTTTGACTACCAGACTTGGCAGCCAAACTACAGCCAGAGCTGTCCTGCAGACCATAGCCTTGAAAACCCTGTTGAGATAAGCAGTGGAGGTCAGGTGTGGTGGCTCATGCCTGTAATCCCAGCACTTTGGGAGGCCGAGGCAAGAGGGTCTCTTGATCTCAGGAGTTCAAGACGAGCCTGGATAACATAGAGAGACTCCTGTCTCAAAAAAAAAAAAAAAAAAAAAAGATAAGCAATGCTTCACCATCAACCTTGCTTGAGAGGATAGCCTCCCCTGCCTGCCCTTCCCCCTCACGCACAAAGGACCAGAGAGTGTCCGACTGTGACCCCTGCTTCATTATAATACTAGCATCCTCACACCAGGAGGGGTGATCTGTCATTTTTTGTACATGCAACATATGATGAAGTATGTGTCTACAATTGTCGTTGTGTATCAGAACCCCTTCCTGGTCATGCTAATATCCTTTTCCTTTGATGTTACCCCCTTCCCTTATCTAATAAAAGGCCCAGACACTAACCCCCTTTCGAGAGCTAGCCAGAAATCTCTTCCTCCTGAACCTTGTACAAGACCCCAGTGAGGCCTTGCCTGGGAATTGGTTTGGCATCTTGTCCATTTCTATCACCTGAGAGTCTAGGAAACTCAGTTGGGGCTGATAGAGTTGGACTCAGAAAATTCCAGGGCTATAGGAAAGCTCCAGGCTCACGGATGCCTCCAGCAGTGAGTACAGAACCACGCATGCATGCAAGTGGCCCGACTACAGGAATTGTCACATCTGCCTACCTGTTAGGCCCTTATCAGACGCTCCTGCAGCTCTGTAGTCTGTCTATCCAGGATGCTTGTGGTCGAGAGTCGACCACCAAGGCAGGAAGCAGCTTAGAGATCCCCGGAGCATGTGCATAAGTAGCCAGGGTTGACCCAAGATAAATCTTCATTGTAATACTATTAGCAAAAAATTACCCTGGGGAGACTCCCATGCCCATCATACACCTGACATCATGACAGTCCCCATGTGACCCTATAAATCCTGAAATTCCCCTGCCCAGTGTGAAGGAGGAGTAACAGAGACCCAGCCTCAAGGTCACCCATTTCTAGGAAAAACCCACCCCTAGACCTACCCCTCAGCACCCCTAAACATAAAAGTCATAGCTCAACAACAACTGAGGCAGAAGAAACAGGCTTGCCAGGCTGTTTCTGCTACTCCCCACTCTTGGGAATGGACTCTTCTGCTTAATAAAGCTACTCCTCCGCTTCTCCTGTGTCTGTTTGCAAAGTTACTCCAAATGTGAACACAAGAACCTGTGGTTGACCATCTCATGCCGGGAGCAGTACCCCCTCCCTGAGTAACAGGGTCATCAAGGCACCCGCCAAACCAGCTGCAGGCAGGTGCCGTCCAGAGGCTGCGGAATGAAATCAAAGGGCAGCTGCCCAGACCTGTAGCCTCAGGAGGGAACACTAGCAGCCTGCTGGGGTCCCGAAGGGCCACAGGAGGCTGGTTCTCAAAGTAGCCACAAAGCAACTGGGTGCTACTACTGGGGTGGGTCGGTGTGGAAAAAAAGACCACCAGACAAGACAGCAAAGATTGTACTTGCAGGAGTCACTGCAGCAGGCATCGGTCACCGTTCCCGGTGCAGGGCAGACTACTAGGCAGGAAGAGGGCGCTCTAACTGTGCTGTGGTGCAGTCTTGGTGGCTCTTCAGGGTGGAGCCTTCACGGGATTGGGGGCAGTGTTTGGCTTTCTCTGGTAGGTTCTAAATCAGAAGTAGTGTGTGTTGCGGGGATTAGGGCAGCTGCCAGTGACTGACCACAGCCTGGCCATGTGGAACTGATTCCACAGGGGCTATCAATGGCCTCAGACAGCAGCCTGTCTTCTCTGGTGAGTCCTGACCATGACAGCGTGGCTCCCAGGGCCAGATACCACTAGGTGCTGGTGTTTCTTTTGGTTTTTTTTTAGTTGGAATCTCACTCTGTTGCCCAGGCTCGAGTGCAGTGGCACAATCACAACTCTTCAACCTGCTGAGCTCAGGTGACCCTCCTGCCTCAGCCTTCCGAGCAGCTGGGACTATAGGTGCATGCCACCACACCTGGATAATTTTTTTTTTTTTTTTGTAAAGATGATGCCTTGCTATGTTGCCCAGTCTGGTCTTGAACTCCTGGGTTCAAGTGAACCTCCCACCTCGGCCTCCCAAAGTGCTGGGATTACAGGTATGAGTCACTGTGCCCGGCCTGGAGGTAGGGACCTCTCTGCACAGATGGTCTGGCTGTATTCTGCTCCTCACTATGTCATTCTCCACTCTACTCTGCAGCTGGGCTCTCAAACCTCACTCGGGCCAGCCAACTGCCACCTCCCGGCCTCCATCTGCTGGCATCCCTGTGGATGGCCTCAGCAGCGCCTCCTCAATCTAGCTGACTCCAGTGTACCCTTACCCCAACACTGTGCCCTCCTCCGAGACCCCCAGCCATCTGGCACCTCCTCCAGGGGTCTGGGGGGTCTTTCTGAGGTTCTAAATTGCCACCATTCTAACCTCCTTCCTCACTCCCTCAGCGGCGGGGTGGAGAGGAGTGTTTTCACCACTGCTTCCCCCGTGATACCCCTCTTCACTCTTACAGTTTCTTAGTGCTGTCCTTTAAAGAAAGCTTCCTACATTCATAGCACTGGAAGCATGTTTTAGGAATCTTATGAACCACCGAAACTGCTAACCCTGTCCCAGAAATGAGTAGACTAAAGTCTTTAGTTGATGTTTAGCTACTAGAAATAGAAACAAAATAAGAATTTAAAACACTTGGCTGATGAAAATGCCCCCACAAAAAAGAATAAGGAGAAGGAAATTAGCCTGGGCAGCATAGTGAGACACCATCTCTACAAAAAATTAGCCAGGTGTGATGGCATGTGCCTGTAGTACTAGCTCTTTGGAAGACTGAGGCAGGAGGATTGCCTGAGCCCTGAAAGTCAAGGCTGCAGAGAGCTGTGATTGTGCCACTGCACTCCAGCCTGGGTGACAGAGCGAGACAACTCAAACAAAAACAATAACCAACTACAACAACAACAAAACAAATTGAAACAATAACAAGATTCCAATGATCACTTCTCATATTGTCAGAAAGTGAAGAGCTTATCCTGCCGTCTGTGTTCACCAGCTGCTGTTGGACACAGATCGGAACAGACTTGGGGACAGGGGCGTAATATCTAACAAAACTACATACCCTTGACCTTTTGATCCAGTTATCTCACTTCTAGGAATTAATCCTAAAGAAACAACTGCAACAATACAAAAAAACACACATGCACAGGGTTACTCATTGAGGCATTATTTATAATGGAAAACTATTGGAAACCACTTAAATGCCCACACATATAAAAGATTGATTAAATGAACGATTGATCCTCCATAAGTGTCCTATGCAGCTACTAAAAACAGTGAGGAAGACCTCTGTGAGCCCAGGGGGAGTGTGAGGCAGGCTGTAGTATCAACAGGGGACAAAGTGCCAAAGGGTGTATAAAGTATGCAGCATTTTAAGTAAGAAAGAAAGGGAAATAAGAAAGTACATATGTGGCCAGGTGTGGTGGCTCAGCACTTTGGGAGGCCAAGGTGGGAGGAATGCTTGAACCCAGGAGTTTGAGGCCAACCAGGGCAGCATAGTGAGAACTTGTCTCTACAAAAATCAAAAAAATTAGCCAGGCATGCTGACACATGCCTGTAGTTCCAGCTACTCAGGAGACTGAGGTGGGAGGATGGCCTGAGCCCAGGAGACTGAGGCTGCAGTAAGCCATGATTATGCTACTACACTCCTGTCTTGGAGTGAGAACCAGACTTAAAAAAAAAAAATGGATTGAGACAGCAACTAAATGGAGGGGCAGGATCTTTGGTTTTAAATTCTGCAGAGAAAAGAGC